CTACTACTACTACTACTACTACTACTACTACTACTACTACTACTACTACTACTACTACTACTACTGCTGCTGCTGCTGCTGCTGCTGCTACTGTTGCTGCTACAATTTATTACTATTACTACGGAAACAGATGTTTGATGCATAGCCTATTCGTGACCCACAAAAAAACAACTAAATCTACACCATCATGTAAGAGCACACCTGTGTTTCTGTCCCCGTGATTTTCTATATCGATTGACCTGAGTGTACCTGGTGACGATGTGAAGCTATTACCATTACCGTTATTTCAAACCACGTGTGCTATTAGTAATACCTAACACCTTTGCTGGTACATTGTTCTGTCTTGCGTAAAACGATTGGGCAGTTCCTTTCGTATTACGAGGCTTACCACATAGCATATTTGTGTTACCGTCTTCTCTTGGACCACCACTCTCTGCGGCTCATGGGCAGTTACTCGTTACTGGTCCAAAATTAATTCTACTAGAGCCTGTATCAGATACAAATTGCCCGAAGCATGTATTGATTAGGAAAAAAAGACATTAAGAATGATTAGCCTATGTGGTTTATGGGAATTTATTCAACTTTCATTTATTAGTTTAAAAAAATAATTGTGAAGTCGGCAGCCCAGGCATTATATTTTGTATTGTATTAATTTAGTCTAAGTCCCGCACACAATAATAGAGCGTGTTTTTTAAATTATTTCTTTTCCATTAATCATCATTAATAAACTAAAGCACGTTTGGAAATGTTAATTTGAAGTTATTGTAAGGGACGTATCAATTAACTGGACTTCTCAAGTTACACCTGGGGCCCCCGAAATGTTTCTAATTGGGGTGTTGTTTTGCTGATATACAGTACGCACTTATTGGCCCACGTCTGACTCTCTTAATTCAGCACAATTACATTCACTATTGTCAATATTTTTTGGCATAAAGATTAGATCCTGTTATAGTTTCCCTCAAGTAAGGCACTAACGCATTATTTGTGCCTGTACAAGAGATGTGTGTAAAAATCCAGGAGGAGACCAAAGGAGTAAGACCTCATAACTCCCCTTTTTTTTTCACTTTGCCCCTCAAACACTGGGTCTAACATCTCACGCCCCACTTTTCTCTTTTCTCCCGAAAAACTATACAATTATGTCCACGCCATTATAAAAGAAATATTTATCATGTATGAGCGGGCTGAGGGATATGAGCTGTCCATTTTCCCGCCAACAGAAGCCGCAACTCCTCCACTGGTGAAGTGTCAGACCACAACATCTCTTTTTTTAACGTAAGTGCTTTTACACCCTCATCGACACTATTGAGATAATTTAGGGGGCGGGCTTCCGATCCTGACTTTTAGGGCCAACCGGGATGACAGGAATACTACGCAGCAGCAGAAAGACCTCGATACTCAATAAAAATTCCTCCCCATTCGGGAATCAGACTCAAGTTTCCTGCATGTGGCAGCTAAGCGGCTAACCACTACACCACAGACGGGGGTACAATGTCTCTGGTCTCTGACGCAGGGAATTCTTCTGTTGTACCTGCATTTTGTGTCTTTTGTTTAGACCACCTTCACCTGGGTATGTCCTGTCTATCAAATAGTAGATCAGCAAATGTCTTCAGAGGAACCTGTCCTCAATTACCGATCTGAGTCCAGAACGGCGTTAAACTAATAGAAACAGGAGTCAGTTTCCCCTATTTCCCTAAAAAAGATTTATCTCATATAGCACGCCAAGAGAATGCTTACCGTAGCGTTGCTGATTGCGTTTAGCAGGTCACAAACGTAGTAGGACATATCGTAGTACAACTCATCATTAGCTGTGGCTG